CCGACCCTCTCTTTCTCTCCTCGTTCCTCCACCTTCGGATGGCTTGTCTCCTTCTCCTCCTTCTCCTGCTACTCCCTCCTCCATTCCCCTGTTCCTTTTTCTCGCGCGTCCACGAGAGGATCCGGCCGATGGTCGACGCGTCGCGCGAGATTCGCATTCTAGACGACTGTTGTGGTAATTTAGTAGTTCAGGGATACGTTTCAATGGTTATACGATTCTACAGGAATACTCCAAAAACAATGTAGTTCGTATTAATTTTGTACACCATTCATATTACACAAAGATTACAAATATTTTATCTGCACATCTTGTACGTAAAATTTAAAATTTCGTAAATAATCTTCTAGAGAGAAAATATTTGTAATATTTGTAATTGTGAATATTGTACAAAATATATATGTAAAGAAAACATGATTATTAGAATAATTGTTACTTCATGTAAAATTGCTTATAAAGAAACAAGCTAATTATCGATGCGAGAGGAATGTTGCAAAGATGAGCACGATGCAGTAATTTATGCGCAGTACGAAACCGCAATTCCGTCCGAGTAGAAAATTAACAGGTATCATTGTCGTCAATGATAAAGCACTATGTGTGGAAAAAAACATAGACACGATACGTAGGAGAACTGCGCCTCCTACTAATCGCGATTAAAATATCAATTCAACATATCATCGATGCGGGGTATATCCCGCATTCTATTTTTATTGCGCTGCAATGTATTTACGGTACTCGTGAGCATTCCTGCCTGCTATAGGCTCCCATTTCTGTTACTGCCCTCCTTACGCCCGCCGCCGTTAAAGCCGCACGAACGTTATGTCGCGTGCGTGTGCGTAACGAGGTAGAATTCTCCTCGTGAGCGAGTGAGTGAACAGGCCGCTCGTTCGAAAGTAGATTCGCGAATCCTCGCTATAGCCGCGTAGAGCGAACCTGCCTGTCACGATAGATTCTTGTAACTTGACGTTCTGTCTCTATACAGGGTGTCTCGCAACTATAGCTATTGCATCTGGAAAATTTTCCAATTTTTCTTTAATTTTCTCTCCGTACAGATTGTAGATAGAAGCGTTTTTACTAGATTTAATCATTAAATATTTTTTTTTAATTTCCAATTAAAGTTTTGAATTAAATTTCTAGCTCGCGTTGAAAAGCGAGTGCTGAAAAGCCTCGTGTATAAACGTAGAATGCGAGGTGATAAAAAAGGGCACATTAACATTAAAGATGCGTTGGACGTTATCAGCGGGTGAAGCGGAGAGATGCCCGCAAAGCTGTCGCGCGCTACTGTGCATCACCGTTGCGATCCACAACCGACCGCTTGAAATTTAACGGGCGAGTTTCCGCGCGAGAGCGAGAGCGAGAGAGAGAGAAATATCTCTTTTATCACGTGTGTAAA